CAGAGGCGGAGTCATATGGAGTAAAAAGTAGTATTTATTTGGCGAGCGGACGCCTCGCAGTTCAGACTGAGTAGCATAGGGGAAGAAGGTCTGGAGCATGAGTTCTCTTTCCACGCTGTGTTACGATGCAGTTATGCTGCGACATTAAATCTCCACTGCATTGTTCTCTTTGAGTTAATCTCTCTGTTTGCTTTCAAATGTCAGGGCCTGGTACTTTCACGAATTTTCATTGGTGTGCTGCTGCTTGGGATTGTGAGTCACAACTTTTCAATTGTGGAACATGACTTTTGACTGTGGACTGTGACTCTTGCCTCTGGGACACAACTTCTGCTGGGAAAGGTGTCCTTTGCGCGTGGGATGTGACTTTTCAATATGACTTTTCATTATGAGACGTGAATTTTGCTTAAAGAATCCAACTTGTGCCCCTGGGATGTGACTGTTCACCGGGTGCCTGATGGAACTCGACTCCTAAGGTACCTGACTGTGACTTCTCTGAAACTGACCGGCTTAGCCTCCCTGGCCTAAGACCTTGACCCTGGAATTCGAATTTGGGGTATGAATCGTGGAAGGCCTTTCACTCTCGCCGGCCTAATTTCGAGGTCCTCCGAGAAAGTTACCAACTTTATCTGTCAATTATGTTAATTCCTCTTTTAGCTCTCTCATAATAAGACACAATATGCGGTGCCGTCTCAATTAGTTCATCTCTTGTAAACCAGCGATCTTCTGATGGTTCCTAATATGCAAATCTAACCTTATACTGTCGCTGTGGCCTACCCCTGAAGCCAGATCTGTAAACATCTTCCCCAACAATCCGATCTATATCATATTTTCCATCCATATCGATATGCGAGTTGGGACAATTCATTACTAACACAAGGAAGTAACTTTGATGCATGAAACACCAGATAAGTTTGCAAATGTGGAGGAATCTCAACAACATAAGAAGGACCGTCCACATCACCAATCACATCAAGAATCTGCCACAGTCCTCTATAAGTTGACTTTACCCAGACCAAGTCTCCTACAGCAAATTGTGAAGGCCTGCGGTGCTTATTAGCCTGTTCTATCATCTGATGGTGTGCCTTACTAATGTTCTCTTTAACCTTTTCCAGGTCTTTTTTATACTGAATAGCAAATTCCTAGTCCCTGGCGAAAGTCTGTGTACTTGATCAAGGTTTAAGCAGTCAATGGGTCTACGAGGTCGCCATCCAAGATGTAGTTCCGTAGGTGTTCTGGACGTAGGCAGATGTATAGGCATTGGCAACTTTTGGCAGATGTTCATCCCAATCAATCTGATCTGGTCGGTTGTACATGCGCAGCACTTGCTGTAGCAGCTTGTTGGTTTGTCCATTTGTCTCAGGGTGTCTACCTGAAGACATAGTCAATTTGGACCCGTATATCTTCATCAGTTGCTGCCATTGTTTAACTGTGAACCGCGAATCCCTGTCACTTACAATAGTCAAGGGATGCCCCAAATCCTTCACCCAATGAGTTAAGAATTCCCTAATCACCAAATCAGTTCTTGCTTTTGCAGGGAGTGGAACGAACACAGGAAACTTGCTAAACCAGTCTACCACCACCATAACTTGACTTTTACTATTTCTGCTTTTTATCTTAGTGTCCATAAAGTATATAGACACGGAGTCCCCGAGTCACGACGGAATAGGCAGCGGTTTGAGCAACCCAAGGGGAGGCTGTGTGGAACTTTTGTTCCTCTGACATACCTGACAGCCTTGCACGTAGGAAATGCAGTCATGCGTCATTCCCAACCACGTGTAGGAGCGCAGGAGGTTCGCATAAGTCTTCCTCCATCCGAAGTGCCCCTCGGTGTCGTGGTTTTCCCCAAGTATGATGCTGCAAATTTCTTCGCTGTTCGGAATGCACAGTCGATCATGGACGTCTGTTTTCTCAAACAGCAGTCCCTGCATCAACCTATAGTCCAGGACTTTGTGCGGTGTTGTCTGCACCTTGCCAATCAGTTGGCTATAGACTAGATCACTTGCATAGGCAGACTTAATTTTTTCTTGCAGTTTGGTGCTTGCATCTAGATATGTGACAATAGCACCGAAAAGGTCAACTCTTCTACTCAACGGATCGGCGACAACATTGTACTTCCCCTTTACGTTCTTTAACTCAAAGTCAAACTAGTCAATTTCCCCAGCCCACCTAGTCAGTTTTGGTGTCATCCGAGCCTGGGTTCTTAGCCAGCGAAGTGTTTCGTGATGAGAATAGACTTTGAAGTGGCGACCTAGCAGATAGTGTCGCCAGTGATTCAATGCTTCCCGAAGAGCAAACAACTTTCTCTCATAGGTGGAAGCGGCGACCTTTTCGCTGGGCAATCTACAGGACATAAATTCTACAGGTATGTACCCACTCCCATCATCTTGCTGGAGTACAACACTGATCCCGTATTGACTAGCGTCAGTGGTTACAATAAAAGGCAGAGATGGGTCTGCGACTTTCAACACCGGGTAGTTAATCAGACACTTTTTCAAACACTTAAAGGAAGTAGTGCAGTCCTTATCTCATTTCCAAACAGTTTCTTTTTTCAACAGTCTGGGTAATGTGGCAGCGATTACCGTAAAGTTCCGAACGAGCTTGCGGTAATAGTTGGCCAGACCAAGGAACGAACGCAGTTTCGTCAACGTACGCGGGTTAGGCCAGTCTCTAATGGCTGCAATCTTGGTGCCTTCCGGCTTGATCCCATCACCATCTACCATATGTCCCTAGTACAAAACCTGACGCTTTGCCCACTCACACTTCTTCGGGTTAATCTTAAACTTCGCCTCACGCAACTTATTTAGCAACTTGAAGGTGCTCCTCATGCTCACTCCAATTCTTACTAGAGATTAGTATATCATCTAAATTAGCGACAACAAACTTATCAAGCCACTCACGTAAGAGCTCATTCATACATCTTTGGAAGGTTGCAGGAGCATTTGTTAGTCCAAACGGCATTACCACGGGTCCGAAAAAAGCCATTTTGTGCTGATCCTCAGGCAATTCCTCAATCTGATGGTAGCTTGACTTCAAGTTTATCTTAGAGAAATATTTGCAACCTTGCACTCTATCTACGAGATCGTCTATTCTTGGCAATGGCTCAACGTTCTTGATTGTTATTGTGTTGAGTCCCTTATAATGTATACACATACGCAGTTCGCCGCCTTTCTTGGGCACAAACAGTACCAGTGCACCGAACGACAAGGAGCTTGGTCTAATCCACCCCTTCTCAGTCATCTCATCCAGTTGCTTCCACAGTTCGTCGAGCTCTTTTGGAGACATCCTATAGATGAAGCCCTTGGGGGTCCGGCTACCAGGTTCCAGATCTATTAGGTGCTTGGTTTCTCTCTCAATGTTACATACTGTGATTTCACACGGGCCCTTGCAGGCCCGACACTACCGGATGGGGGGTACCTAGGCCGCCCCAACCAAGGCCGGACCTTTTTTTCTCTCAGTAGGCCGTGGAGGCCACCGGTTGGCGCCTGCAGCAGACCAGGGTCGGCCCAAACGATGTTACCGTTTGGGCCTGGCGGCAGCCTTGAGGTTGCCGCCCGCCGGTCTGATCKGAACCATCATTGTTGACGATTCAGATCACGGCGCAGGAAGGCAGCATAGAGGCCGACCGGCCGCCGAATGGTACTTAGGCCGGTCCAACGGCCATTCCAAGAGGTTGGAGAGGCAGTACGGCAACAGGCACCAAGCTGCGCTATTCTTGGTTCAGCGCAGCGGTTGGAGCTGCAACGCTAAGTTTAGCGCATTGCAGTAGAGGGACGCGAGGAGGGAGACTTACCTGGAGTACTGCAAGCGCCATAGCTCCCAGCGGTGCAGCCCAGCTCCC